ACACCCCCTTAGTTTGCAAAATGCTTATTTCATATTTAATTTATGCATTATAAAAGTATTTGACATATCAATAGGATAAAAAAATATATTTGATGAATTTTATCTTTATTGGAAATGATATTAAAATATATGATAAAAAAGAAAATCTAGCAGTAATGTATGATTAAAAAAAATATTTCTCATGTCTCAAATGTTAAAATTTCGTGGTATTAAATTACATGATTTGAAAAATTAATTTAAATTGAAATTTATGGATAGATTGTATTTTTTTTTTATTGAATAAAGATTATGTATTAGTCTTTTAAGTTTAGATATATTATAAAATAAATTTAAAATATAAACTTATCTTATTTTAAAGTACATGTTCTCATTTTTCGACGTGTCTTATTTCAAATTTAAACTGATTTCCTTTCATTTTTTTTCCTTTATCAAAACACACTACTTGTATTTAAGTAATAAAATATTTACTAAATATTTATTTCTATAAACAATTTTCATAATAAAATCTAGAGATAATTAGTACTTGATATTTATAAAACACATTTAATTATTATAATTGATAATCAGTGTTAGCTGGTTTATAAATTTTATTAATGGTTAAGATATTAACCATAACTCTTATGTACTTTCATATTATGTCTGGTTTATCTATCCCTATTCATCCATGTTCCATTACTCCATTGCATGTATATCAAATGGTGATAAACACATGACTTATATTCCATCAATAAAAACATGTACTAAATATTTATTTCTCTAGACAATTTTCATGATAAAATTTTAAAATATAGAGATAATCAGTAATTGATAATTATAAAATGCATCTAATTGTTATAATTGATAATCAGTAACATGTGGTAATAAATTGCATTTAATTAGTACTTAGATATTAATTTGTAATTATAAATTGATTTCAATTGATATAGAAGATGATAATATTCTTCCAACAACAGTTTTCATATGTATGTTTCTAATCATTTTGGAAACACATATACCTTAATAATAATAAAAAATTATGGTTTAAAATAGGACAGAAATCCTCAATAAAAATAAGAAAGAAAGCACATAATAAATATATTAATCATAATTTAAAATTTTATCTAACCTAAAAAACTTAAGAAACATAACTTCAATGTTAGATATTAATATCAAGAGAATTGAGTAAGGAACTGTTGTCCGCTTTGGGTTTAAGCCCTTTCAATGGTAGCTCCATAGAGCTCACTTACGCTCTCCATCATGAGCTCCGGTCACCTCAGACCATCGGCTTTGATACCACTTATTATGCACTATGGGGTTAGCACACACATATACATGTCTCCACATTGGTGAGATATTGTCCACTTTGGGCCTAAGTCCTCACGATTTTGCTTTTGGACATCGCTCAAAAGACCTCTCAACCAATAGAGACAAGTGTGTGTATATAAACCCATGTCCATCCTCTTGTTTGAACGATGTGAGACTTTGCTTGCATCCCAACAGGAACCTATATAGAAAATTTTCATTACCATATTAAGAATAAAGAATTTTACACATTATAACTTAACTAAGAAGAAATATCCTCTACTTTTTTTTTTTCATGTATTGTGTGAGATAAAAATTAATTTAGAAACTTAATCCAAAAGAAATAGGCATATATGGACATTGAAATTTGTTTACCTCTTCGCCAAATTTGTTCAGACAGACAGGAGGTTTAGGTAAGTATCTTATTTTATATTTAAGTATAATTGATTTTAAAAGAGAATGGAGATTACTGATCTAGCTTACTCAGTGTTTTTTGTCTGGAAAATAAATCAGTTTTTCTTGTCCTTTAGCATATGCATCTTTATGTGCTCAAAAATTTGATGGCCTCACTGGTTTTCATATAATTTTTTTTCTTGTAAAATGAATTATTAAATCTTAAATCATGTATGAGAAAAAAAACTTAAAAGTGAATGGCCAGTGATTGGATAAATTAATTTAGGTTAAAAATGATAATGAAAGGTGGATCGAGTAGAATAATTTATAGAAAAAAGATGTAACAAAAGATTGTTAAAAAATTGACACATAAACAATTTTAATAATGTGAGGTAGGATAATACAACGATGTGATAGTGTAATATTGAGTAACTCAACTTTTATATTTTCAATTAAAAGATGGATTTTATCAAAATAATGACGAATGATAATACATATATTTTCAATTGAAAGATATGGATTTTATCAAAATGAAAGATGAATGATATTTTCAATTAATAGAAAAATGAAAATTAGCTATTTGATTCGGTTTTTAAATTTCCAAAACCAAACCAAACCAAACTTATTTGTAAATTAATATATATATATATATATAT